CTTTTGATTCTGTTTTCCCTATTATATTTTCCTAAAGCAAAGGAATAAAAATTTTTTCTTATTTTTTTTTTATATATTTTCCTATACCTCTAACAAACAATGCACTGGCTTCTTCCGCACTTACATATGCGTCTATGCAGTTTAAGTTTAAGTTCTCGCTTTGACTATTTGCCTAATTTCTCTAAATATGTACTGACCTACTTCTTATATTCTTCTTTTCTCTTGAATTTACAAGTATTTTAAATTTATTTCAGTCTCTGCACATTAAATTTTTACACAAATCTACCTTTTTAGTTACTTTTTATTAAAAATTTTTGAAAAATTTTAAGGGTAAATTATTTACAATAATTTCATTTGTAATACCTATCGTCCCTATGTGTGAGACTGAATTATATGTTTGATTTCCTTGCAAACTGCGTTTTCGCAACGGTTGCAAGAGAAATCTAAAAATATATATATATTTTTTTTTACATAGGGTGCTTATTCAGCACTCCTTTGCTAGACGTCTTCTTTCTGCTTGCCAATTCCTTTTCCAGTTCCAGCAACTCCTTAAAGATCTCCTTCAGCTCTTCTGGGGTGTGCTTCCTTTGGACTTCTTCTTTTAGATGCGCTCGCCGCCGTAGCTGTTTATTCCTTTTTCCACCTCTTCTCCTAGGTGGACGCACGATCGGTATTGCCGTTTTCTTTTCTTGTTATCGTTGTTGTTGTTTCTCTTTAATTTGTTGTGACCGTTGCCTTGCCCTGTATTCTTGAATGGACAACGGCCGTGGTCCCGCAGCAGGATCTTTCTTGTAACGACTTTGACATTTATAGACCCAACACGTTGGTTTCAGCGCTAATATATGTTGATGCAGTTTCAAACATGCAACATGCTGATTTCAGCGCGTGAGTATAGTATGCCTATATGGATGCCGTTTTACACACACAACACGTTGATTCCGTAGATGATGATTGTAATCTTGATTGTTCGTTTGTGACGTTGATGTTGGTACTAGCAGAAACTTCACTCAATATAATATATTATTATGTCCCACTTTCAATCACATATTTATATATTTTTCTTTTCACTGTTCATGTCACTGGCAGGATCGCCATGAAGTGACAACGTCTTGATTTAAGCTTTAAATTCAACTGAACTTTATTCATCACATATTTTTAAGTTAAGCCTAATTCTTTGAAGAAGGAGCCAGACGCTTACGCTGCAGATTTAAAATACAGTATATTCTGCCTAGCTGCACATCCTTCTTTACACGAAAAACTTGTGTACTTAACCGAAAAAGGCACTTAAGCGAATTTTTTTTACTACTTCAATGAGGGAGGTATACGAATCCCTATGAAACCACATAATGGAGAAGCACTTACCACGTAGAAATTACTGCAATGGGAAATTTTTACCGAATGGTATCTAATTATCTATATAACTACATAAATTGATAGCTATTTTCGTTTTTCTGCGAGATGAGTAAAATTAATAAAAGCTTGCAAAATAAGGTAATTGTAGGGCCAGTGCAGGTAAACGTAATACTTTCTTTGATAATTGATACTAGTTGCACAATTTATAAGGCAGGTAACGCCAATGTGCAGGTACGTTGAATGCATCTATCCGAGCAGTTTCCTTATAAATGTTAAAAATAATGCCTCTGATGCGCATTTTGGGGTAGGTATCTTAAATGTGCACTTAAGCATAAAGTGAGCAAAGCAAAATATACTGTATAAACGAAAAGCTTTGCGATCGTTCTCACGCTAGAATTTCTGAATGCGCAAAACGTGCAGTTTATCAAAATGTATTAAATAAATATACGCCGGATATGCATGCTACTTTGTGGTTATTGTGTTGCAACTATGTAAGCGTATAACAGTAATCGTGCTATTCCTTTCCCGATTTTTCATGTATCAGGTTTAGTAAAAGGCAAAAGGTTCCACCACATTCCTTCCGGCAAAACCCCAACCAAGTTGTGCAGGTGAAGATAAAGAAGTTTTGAATGCAAAATCTAGTCTATTCATTGGACAGCAGTTGAACCAACATACGCCGGTAATCCAAAATCATCACACGTAAGTCAGCCACTTTCTTGTCACCATCCCATTGGAAACGAGCTAACCAACAACCGTAAATCGAGATTCCTGTTTGGACCAACAAACCAAGGTCAAGCAAATCAACATGAATTATATAAAATCACTGTTTTCTTGAAAAGTTACCAAGATACAATTTTAATTTTGATCGGTGATGATTACTGAAACATCGACTTTTGATATTCTGCAACAATATTGTGAGTGGTTTTCATGTTGGATTAAATATTTTTCTACACTACCGTGAGTGACTTTTGCTAAAATTTAGAAATGAAAACTTATCAAACCAATTTCTGTAGGTGTAGGAAAAACTATTTTATACTTTTTACTCAATTTATAGAAACGTGGTATGTTTAAAAAGTTTTTTTTTTTTAATTTGATTTTTGTTTTGGTTTCTTTGACAAATATATATAAGCAGACTCTTTGCTTACCTGAGAATTAATAGGCAATGACTCCAACACCTTCACTGAATATTCCCTGCGTTCAAACATCGGTGGATTATCGTTAACATCCTGAACCTCCACGAGTATGGTGAGGTTCGCCGATAAGGGCGGTTTACCGCTATCCGTAGCTGTCACAATCAATGCATGCCGCAGTGCTGTTTCATAGTCAAGGTGTCGTGACAATGTTAGGTGGCCGGTGCGTGCATCGATTGCGAAAAAATTATTCTCCTCCATAGCACTACGACTTATGGTAGAAGTTAATCCCATACCCGGTAAGGAGTTGGAAAGCGAGGGAAAACCTGCAGCATATTCAGATGTTCCTGCGGTTGCAATGCGATTGCGTGTTGCTAGCGCCCCTGTCGGAGAACCTGTGAAGGTGTTTAGAGTTGGCCGAGGCGACAGAATTTGTGCTACGGTACTTGCGTTGCTAAAGTATTGTTGTTGCTGTTGTACTGAATAGTGGTAATCGGTGGAGAGCAAATGTAGCATGTAAGTGATCTCACTACTTTTTCCAGAGTCTTTGTCGTGTGCATGCGCCGCATAAAGTGGAGTGTCGAGTTCAACATTTTCTGGCACGGATATGCGTACCAAGTTCGTTTCGAATTCGGGCGCATTGTCATTGACGTCCTCGATGTCGATGGTGACCTGAGGAAGAAAATCAATATGCTATTAACAGGGAATGGATTTTTAGGACCCAAAAACCTATAAAAAGGCTAAATTAAATAACGAAATACGCTAGAAAAGGCAAAATAAAATAGCAAAATAGCCAGGGGAAAAGGCACTAGAATGCGCAAAAAAGGCAAAAGAAGGCACCAAAAAAAGACAAAAATCCCAAAATTTAAAAAAAAAATATTATTTTAGAAATGTTTATTTTCAAAGTAAAAAGAAAAAACTATGAACTAGTTTCATTATATGAAAAACTTGTACTTTGACTATTTTCCCTTTTCGAGTTTTTAAATAACAAAACTTAAATCTCTATAGTTGTAGTAACATTGGCCCAAAAGTTGCATTTTGAAGTCTTCTGGCAGCATTTTCATTCGATTTTTGCGAAGAAAAGCCTTGAATATAGTAAACGTTCGCTCGACGTGAGTTGATAGAAGTGGCGTCCAATTTAAATATGGAACCTTTCAAACTTTCATATTACTAGGAATAAACCTTTTTCCTTGCCTTTTACAATTAAAGGTAAAAAAGGCAAATATCTTAAAAAAGGCAACATCAAATGAGTATACATATATGGAATCAGGGAAAGCTAAATCGTAAATATTCTTAATTGAATAAACTCTATCACTTTAGCAGAAAAAAGGCAATTTCCATAAAATCCGTTCCCTGGTTATTCACAATACTAGGCATCATTTCGTATTTTTTTACAAGCTTTTATTTAACTTGCTCATCCCCTGGAAAATTCCAGTCGATTATAAACTAATTTCCCGACAAGCTACAGACTTTCAATTTAAAATATAAATAAACTCTCTAGATAGTCCAGGTGTCTGGATACAAGGGCGGTCAAAACACAATGAAATTTATGACTAACAGAGCGCAATTTTCTAAATAACGTAAAAGCGCTATAAGAGAGAGGGTAAAATAACACAAACGGCAATAGCACAAATTTGTACTATTTCCTAATTGAATGTGAAATAACACAAATTTGCTTTATTTTATTTCTCGTTGAGCAATTAGACCAACTTTTAAAATTAACAATGGAGTAATAAAGCAAAATAGTGCACATCACCCAGTTATATTTCACAGAATGGACGGATTTGTAAGTCTACAATTTTGAAAGTGCG